CCCCAAAACCCCAAAACCCCAAAACCCCGCTAGATTCAATTTAGAGTATTAATGATCAAATACGTGTGAATATATACTGCCAGAAAAATTAATCCTAATCTACTCATCAATCATTACTTTTCTTGAATAAACCCTTAAATTTTTCTTTAACGCCACTCTATTCAAACTTTTCTCCAACTAATCCACCAAATTTCATGATTCCTTCTCCTGCTTTTTTGCCCAAGTTCTTAGCCCCATCAACCCCTCTATTTAGTATTTCTTCTGCATTTCTAGGAGGCTACTCTTGATTAAATTCTACTCCTTGTGCTAGAGCGAATAATCTCTTCTTATAGTATTTGATAGGATTGCTATTAAATTTGGCATTAATATCCTTCAATTCCATATTATATTGTTTGATAAAATCCCAGAATTTCTTATTGCCTCCATTTTCAAGTAATTTGATTTGAAAGGTATCCCAAACATCTTAGTATAATGGTTTTACATAACTCAATTCCATTCCAAGTAATTCTAAGTGCTTCCCTGCACACTCCTCACAGATGAGAATGCCAAATGTCACAGAGCAGTGAGTGCTCTCATTTTTATTGCAATCAACACAAAATTTATTATAAGAGTCTTTCTGTTAGATTGCTCTGAGTAATTCAGTTTATTTAGAAGGTTGATTCATTGTTTCCATTTTAAAATTTGATTTATAAAATATTTGTTCTCTATATACTGATTAGAAATTAAACTTTCAGAATAGTTAACAATTTACAGATTATTTTATAATAAAACACAAAATGAATAGCAAACTTTACTCTAGAAATGCGTATAATAGCAATAGAAATGTTCAAAGTCTAGGCAAAACTTAGTAGGAACAGAACAAAGTCTAATAAAAATTAAATGAATCAAAAGTTATGAACTTTATTGAATAGATCAAAGATAACAGAAAAGCTTTAGATCTGTTTCTAGATAACTTTAGTTTTTAAAATCCATAGATAACTCACAATCCTAGTTTCAAGAGAAATGATTTGGTATTACATTTATCAAATAAATAAACTTAAAGAGAAAATCAGGATTATAGCTGATTAGAAAAATCAAATATTAGTATTCTTACTCATTCAGATAAAAGAAATGCTACAATATCACCTTCTGGAAAGAGATTAAATCCTAAATAATATTTCCTTAAATATATTAGAGAGGAAAATAAATCTTATTTTTAGAAATAGAGAAAAATGACCATAGAATCTGGCAGTTTTATTGAGTATGATAGACACAATAGAAGCAATTTCAAAGATAAAGTTGCAAGCTATTTTAATCAAATAGAGAAAGAAGAAAACTCCACTATGCAAGAATCTTCACAATAACTTCAATCTCATACTAGCAAAAATAAGGTGTTTGTTATCAATCAAAAATAAGAATCATTAGATCTATCAAGACATGAAGAATCTGGTAACTTACCTGAAATTAATTAGTGAAATTAAGCTATTTTTCTGGTTCAAAATAAATTATCATCTTAACTAGAAAGTATTATTAAGGTAGAATAAGCCTAGCAAATTCCCCTCTCAAAAAAGAAATAATTGCCAAGATATATGTAGCCAAACCAAGCATGGTTATCAAAGGATAAATAATTACCTCCTCCAATTATTGATCTTACAAAAGACCAAAGCTACTCAAAATCTAAAATCAGTTCATTACTGCCACAGCTAATTATGAACAAAAAGAAGAAAGAAAGCAATGAAGATGAATTAAACGGTGATGATAATTAAAATATTGGAAGGTTAGCTAAGCAGAATAATAAATTTTTTCTAATAAACAAAGAAGACCCATTAATTATAGATCTATTTAAGAAAATATGCCAAGAAAAAAGAGATTCTAACATAATTAGAGCTAGACTTACTAAGGGTAAGATGAAAGCTCACCTAAGCAGAAAATATAAAGGAAGAGTAGCCGAAAAGATTTTGTAGTATATGGATTTTTCTGTTCCTCTGGACTATCAAGCATTTATTGACTTATTAGAAAAGCTTTTAAATTTTGGTCAAGATAAACTTAAGAAGATGGCATTTAATGTTTTTGATTTTAATGATGACAGGTATATATGTTAACTTGATTTGTATTCAATTATGAAGATGTATGAAGGTGACGATCAAGTATTCGTAAATGGATATAGTTATGATATTTGTAAACTCATAGCATACTTGGATTAAAAGAAAATTTCCAAAGGAAATCAGAATTATGAGTTGAACCAAAAACTCAAGAACATCTAGAAAAAGGTTGAGCAGGCAATGAAATAACTTAATTAATAAAAGAAAAACTCTTAAACTGAATCTTAGTTATTGAAAAAAGAAGAAAGGAAAAAAGAGAAAGGTGATAGCAAAGATTTATCCTTTAATAACTCAGAAACTTCGTCTATTTAAAAAGAGTCTGAGGAGTACTCTGAGAGCGAAGAAGAGGAATATGAAGAATCAAGTCAAGAAGGAGATAAGACAACAACAAATAAAACATTAGGAGGTCCAGGGGAAAAATCTAAGTATAGTGATCTAGCTAGCAGAAGATAAAGCGTAATGAGTAAAAGGTAAAACCAAAGCTCATTGAAAAAAGATTACAAACGGATGAACACGAGTATGTCTAGAGTATCAAAGGTAAGCAGAGGATCTGGGAAATCAGGAATTTCAAGGGTTGCTAGTTCTAAGAAAGTACAAGGAGGATTCTTTTCTCACTATAGTGAACAATAAGATGAAGAGGAGAGAGAAAACCCATTTGACGCTATCTTTGGCAAGGACATATATAAAAAGATGAAAGGCAATAGAGATTATAATGAGAAGATGTCTCTCTAAGAGTTCAAAACGAATATTGCCTGGGGTGATAATATCTTTCCATAATTTATAGTGGACATGATTGCCTATATTAGTGGTTTTCTTATAGATGATTATATCAAGACTAAGAAAGAGAAGGAAAAATACGAGTAAGAGCAATAATAGCTGTAGGAATTAATTAATAAAAGAAAGGAAGCTGGAGAAACTTTAGATGAAAATTTTCTCTTGGAATAATTTAAAAGACAAAGAATGAATGATGCTGACACTGAGCTTCTGATAGCTAAAAATAGAATAGGTGAGACTATGTATCGAAAATTACTTAGATTCTTTAAGAATGTATGTAAAAATCCAGCAGATCCGAAAGAAAGTTCCCTATTTTTAACACAGGAGTCGCTCACAAAAAAACTGAAAAATCATTTTGGACATAAATGTGATTTTTTCTCTTAGAGATTTTACTATATTCTGTCAAATAATGTGAATCTTAAGAGAATTCATCTAAAAGAGTTTATTGATAAGATAATGATATTATATGAGGGTTCCTAAAGAGATCTTAACAAATTTGCTTTTTAACTGGTTGACATAGACCATGATGGACTCTTGACTGGCCCAGATTTACTAACTTGTCAAGAATAGATAGATTTAAGTTCTGAATATGGCTAAGAGATTTTGAACTTTGTTGATCACTATGTAACAACCCATTTAATGACTAAATCAAGAATAAATCCAAAGCATTTCTTGCATTTGGATAATTTTATTATGCTTTTGGGAGGACATAACTCAAAGTCCTGCGTTATTGATGAAATTAAGTTAAAAATATTAAGTAAAGAAGGAAAGCATTCCTCTAAGTCAGTATTCTTCAAAGATAGTACAAAGGAAAACAAAGATCGTTAAAAGAAAAAGCAGCAATAAAATCCTATCACTTAGATGATAGGTACTTAAGCATAGCAATAGATTTAGTAAAAAAGAGCAATCTTAATGTGGGGAAGTAGCAATATGAATAAAGATAAAAAGAATGTAACTTTCTCCTACATTCCTGCTCATAAAGATGAAGATGATGATCAATATGCAGCAAGAAGAGCATTGAGAAAAAGATTAGCATAAGAAGCAAACTAGGATATATAGGAGGATAAAAATGAAACTTAATAAATGAATGAATGAAAATATGTTTATACATTATTAATATTAATGATTAATTTCATCATCAAACAATTCTATTTAGCTCTGTAGCGTAGTCTAAGCTTAGAGAGATCATCTTATTTGCTGGAATCTCCTTCATTTGCTCCTTTTGTCTGCTGAAGAAAAGTCTGTCTCCTGATATTTGCCACTCAACTCCTTCCTTACCACTATTACCATTAATGAAGCTCAGCAGATCCTGCTGATTGTCTATCATGAATATTTTTTAGGTATCTCTTAGACTTAAACTCTCATATGCTCTTTCAGCTGATCTAGCGATTTCAAATCTGATAGCATCAACAAATTTGTTAATGAAGAAATGATATGCCTCAAGAGGTACGTTTTATTTCTGAGTCAGAATTTTATTATAGCTTCCCTCAACGAAGTGCTGCTCAAGAGAGACTGGCACTGTTATATATACATTCTGCTGCTCTTCGATAGGAATTAGTTCTATTTCTGTGTGATACTCTGAGATCTTATTGTAAGAAAGGAGGTAAAGGAGGTAAAGACCCAAGATTGCATACATTTTTTAAGAAGGGGGGATCACTCCACTATAAATTGCTATAAATCTTAATTCTTACTTAAACTCATCGTAATAAGTTTTCAGAATGCTCATATGATGTTCATACTCTAAGATATCTTACTTCTCGACACTAAGGAATGTGGCATACTCATAAACCTCGCCTGCAAATTTGTTTAATCTAATTTATCTTACGAGCTAGAATGCACTCTTTTGGAGATGGTTCAAAGCAAGGTGGGATATTTTGGAAAAATGTCAAATCAATCTTCAATTATCTGATAGTCTTTTCTCTATCTCCTAGAGTATGTGGTCCCTCAGGCATAGATTTCAGTTTTTAAAGCCCGTTTGCAACTCTATCAATGTGACTAACCATTTTTAATTCTTTTTAAATTATATAAAAATTGGTTAACAATTTTAAATTTTAACTATATTTTCTCGTCAATTGCTACATTGTTTATTATAGTTTAGAATCAAGGGGTTTTGGGGTTTTGGGG